AGTCTAAGATGATTATTTGCATATAACACACAAAATCTATAATAGTAAAATAATTGCAATAGAACAATCAATGCCATCATGCTTTCACAAGCACTCTTCATTATATGAAGCTGCTGTCTGGTTGGCGGCCCCTGAATGAGATGCCCTAAGAGCGTTTGTGTTGAATCAACAGAAAAGGTACATATTTGCTCACTTTTCTGATGTTTAATAATGATCAGTTTTTAATTTACAATTTTTTATTACAGAATTCGTATGAATTACTATTGCAAGAGCTAAAGGTGCTCTTCCTGCAGACCAGAAACAACAGCCATGCCTTATATTGGGCAATAATCAAAGAGACACATAATCACCAGACTCTTGTGGAAGCCAAATCGAAGGGAATCATTGCAAGAGCTGGATACTTTTACAATAGTCTAAGAGACAAATTTAATAAGTCGTTGAAGGACCTTGTCAAAGCCTACAAAGCTAAATATACGTCTATATTTATACTATTTTGTTAATATTCTGCACAACAAAGTTTAATTAATTACTAAATATACTTACTAGTAATGGCATAGTGACTGATCAGCAAATCAATGAGTTCATTGATGAGGGAGTATGGCAGGAGGTGCTATCATTAAGTCTTGATGCTGCGGACATTGTGAAGATTAACAAGAACGCGGTAATGCTTGAAAGGCTTGGGAAGTTTGTTCGAGAATTCCATCTGAAGGATCGGACAAATGCTGGCGCCCAAATCCGAACTCTAGATTATTTAACGGTAGATTTGCCAATACCTTCTTCCTACAGTAACGTAGTCGCAAAGTTGAATGTGAGCGAATTGGCTTGTGCTACGAAAAAAAATAAGAGGTATATTAAGAAATAGGAGTCATATTCTGAAGTTTTAAAGAAGGGGGTTTAATAGCCATAATAATAAAGAAAGGTGATCTTGGACCTTAAGCAAACTCAAATCTCTGCTTTTCATGCACAAAGGTGTCTTTATTGTAGCTCATTACCTAACAGCGTTTAAAGGCAAAAGACGGAAGGTTTTAATACTCTTTTAATTGTTCTAATATTCTCATGGCAATGCGGCATTATTTAGTAATTAGAAATCGCATCAATCGTTTTGTAATAATAATAGTATCGTGTATAAATTTGAAACTTGCTTTCACGTGATCTACTTATACTGTGATGATCAGCGATGCGCGCCGAATTTGTTTACCCTTCTCTCTATACACCCTTGCCCGTTCCCCTTGACGAGTTCCTTTCATAAAACGATGAGATGGGAATACCTGGAATAAACTTTTAACGTTAAGTAGTTATGTATGGCACGCCGGAGTGGACAAAAGTCTGAATTTAAATTCACTATTTTACGAATTGAAATTCAGAAAATAGCGTC